AAATGAGAAATTTAAAAGTGCACTGGTTGTAGGCTACATTTCTCACCTTCTCGACGCCCCCGCCTGTTCTGTTCTAACTCACCGCATAGCGGTGTGCCTCGCGAAACGTAGACAAATTACCAGATCCGCAAAAAATGAGCCAAAAACCTCCTCATATCTAAATAGGTCAGACAGCACACGTCTCTGAGCTCGCGCATGGAGAGTGGGCGACAAAGTAGCCGTTGCCAGACGACGAAACATTGTGTCATGTCTGGAAATATGCGCAATTTCGGAGATGACAGTGTTCTCAGGGTAGAGGGCGTATGCTGGCTAAAAAGCCCGGCATTGAGCCTGCAGTTATGAGATCTTTGTTGCATCTAAGCAAATCGCGGTGTATCTTTTAATTTATGATCCAGTATTATTTAAATAATCTAGTGTTTGGCAACAAATAACGTGCCATCAATAATTTATTTTTGTAGTCGTAGTTTAGTCTCATTTGAATATTAGATACCTTCTTAGTTTAGTTGATTTTAGTTTATCTTTTCTAGTTAGTTAAGTTAGGTTTTGGTTAACGTTTTAGTTCAGTTTTAGATTTATTAGCCACATGCGGTTGCTTTTGGAGTTAATATATATACAAGTTTAGTTTACCATCGTTTAGGTAGCTTGGTTTATTTAAATTACTTATAATTTAGTCTATTTTTTAGTTCATTAGGATGTTTAATTCGTTTGATTTTAGTTTTATATTGGTTTGTAATTTACTTATTTTAGCCTATGTTAGTTTAAATTTATTTAGTTAGTTGATTCCAGTTTGTTGCGTTAGTTCTAATTTAGCTTATTTTCGTTTAGTTTTTGGTTCAGTTTTGGATTTATTAGTGACATGCGGTTTTTGTTTTATGCTTTACTTCAAGTAACTATAATCTGGGCAATCCTTTGCGCTCTTTGCGTTGTTTCGCAAATGTGACCATCTCCGATATTTGCGCAACTGCACATTTATGGCTCGCGTTTTGTTCCTACTATTTTCTTATTTTCTATGCTTTACCCTTTTTATTCCTTTTTTCCTTCCCTTGATATGGCCCAGTCAATTAACCCTCATAAGCACATGTCCCGTATGATGGATGGATGAATTAATGGATGGAAGAAGGATGGAGTTTTCGTGTGTTCTACTGGAACCTGAAGTAAACTTCTACCCTATCTCGTAGTAAAAACAAAACGATACCCGTAACGCGCGAACTGATTCGGGAGAGTTAAAACCAGCATCACCGAGGGGGATAACGCAAACGAAGCCAGTGGG